ATGCTCGTCGCAGGGCGCGCATGGACCCTACCCCGGCTCCAATACTCTTCAGCACTCAACAACGAATGCCACACGGAGCGCGCCAGTCAGGCTATTCTTGAGATTGCAAGGAGACGTGCTCAACCATATGTAACGACGTTTAGGAAGAAGAAAAACCGAAGTGAATGTTAAAAGTAATCGAATGCGCATAGTGGAAAAACACTAAAAACCGGTCAAATAAATATATATATATAAAGAAACGAGCATAAGTCAGCGTAATATTAAATTTATGTTTGAGAAGCTACCGCTGAGATACAAAGTAAAGGGAAAAACTTTTGTAAGCCACTCAATATGGCTGACACCATTTCGTATGAGGTTGTCGTCAATGTTTTTAAGTAAAAAGAGACTATAGACGAAAGTTCTTCACATCACGCAGCAGAAAAAAAAGGTATAGAAGTAAGTCGTACGAGATAGAAAGCTCTTCAAAATCAAAGACATGAATATATGGTTCTTTTCGGGTAAAAAGAAGCAAATCCGACCTTATTTGCTGGACAAAAAATTTTCACAGGAGTGATAGTAATCACTCGAAAGTTCAAATTTCTCGCTACAGCCTTATGCGGCCGGTTTTTAGAAGAGCCTCTTTTTTGACGTTGTCACAGAAGAAACGAAGAAAGAAAGAAAGAAAAGGAACATAAGAATCCACTGTGTTTAAGACGCGCATATTTCTCACCGGACAGAGCTCGTTCTCTGGACTATAAGCAATCGTTCGATAGCGTAATGTTTGCTGATTCCAATGTTGTGCTTCGATCCCAAAAAAAGTGTTTTTCTGCAAGGCAGCAGGGAAAATATGATTGATTCACATGCACTGCCAAGAGGGTCTTTGGCCAATTTACGGGCAGATGCGTGAGGCAACAAGGTCGACTAAAATGATGATCGACCGCTTTTCGAGGATATGAACGCGCAGAGAAAACGCGTAGTCCCTGAAAGTCTTCGAGCCACTACTGGAAGCAGTTAAGACGTTCTTGCCCCTCTCGCTTCATCAAAGTGAGCATAATGATGAATGATTTATTCGTATTTAAGACAAAATAAAAGTAATTGGAGTCATTCTGTAGCAGAGTCGTAGGTTTTATCGGAGTTTTTCCTCTCAAGCCAGAGAAACAATTCCTAACTGAGCAACAACGACGACATTAGCACAAGACTGGTTGAAAATCGCCCGGTAATTGCGGAACGCCCATTGTCTCCTCACTCAGTGATCCGTGAACTGGCCAAAGACCATCTTGCTCGCGCATGTGAATCAATGCTGTTTTTCCTGCCGCGTTGCGGAGAAACGCTCTTATCAGAATACAAGCACAACGTTGGAATCAGAAAACATTATGCTACCGAATGATTACTCAGAGTCCGAAAAAAGAGTTCTGTTCGGCGAGAAATATGCTCGCGTGAAACAGTTTTATAGCGTTGTAAACGGGTCTTTACAGAAGCCGGCCGCCTACGGCTTTACCCAGATAATCATCTTTCGAATGATAGCAAACATCCATATGAAAAGTTCACGTACAGCGAGTGAGGCCGGACCCTTATTTCCTTGTCTCCTTACTACCGAAAAAAACCGAATACATATATATGTACACGTATATATATATATATATATATATATATATATGCATACATACACATATACATATATATAAGCGAGTTTATACACGTATATGCAGTCGTATACATACATATATATACATACATATTTATTCATACGTTTATGTAAACATGCATATACATCTACACATACATACGCATATGCATGCACGTGTAGACACATCTTTGTACAAATCGGTAGTGATAAGCATAATGTACGGCTGAGTGCGGACTGGTAGATCAATTATTGCTCTACGGATGCCTCTTTTGGGTGAACACATGGTCCCACAGTGGGAGCCACCTGCGTGGCACCTGCAGGAACAACAAACGACGAGCTCACGAACAGAAAGTGATCACTTAGTCACACAATGCTTGTGAAGATCAATTTTCCTACAGGCAAAGATATGATGTAGCAGCTATTCACCTCAAAAACTGCCATCTTCTTATTTCATATTTTCATATATTCATGACAGAGGAGTGCGATGCGGTGAGTGGTCGAGTGGCCGGCAATTGATTAACAAGCACACTAGCCTGGCTATCATCGAGAATGCAAAGAGGTCCGCCCGATCAGTATTTTTTGATGCGATGTGAGGAATTTCAAAGAGTGATAGCAGGACAAAAGCCGCGGTAGCGCAGCAGGTTAGCATGCACTCTCGAAAACGGTGAGATGTGGGCTCGATTTCAGCCCTGGTTCAAAGTTTTGCATACCACAAAGTATTACGGTAGATTAGATCCTCAAGCAAGCATGAACGCAATGAGACAAATCGAACGCCAGAAGCACTGAGGCATGCACGGTGAAAAAAAGTATGATAAAGGAAAAAGATAAAACGATGACTGCTTATCAACTGTCGTAGACAGCACATCCCGGGTCTAACCGATGAGCGCTGCGCGCCCAGGGCACTCTGCATCCTTGGCCTCTCTGCTCCTCTGCCTCTGCCTTCTCCGCAATGAAATGAGCAAACCTCACTCACATCATATATGAAGGCAGCCTCTTCACTCAGCGGCACTCCGGCCGCAGCGCAGGCGAGGCATACCATATTGCAGTGATTCCGTTCAGGACCCAATCGCCGCCTTTTCTTGCGCGGACCACGCCTACTCGTAAGGTGGGAGAAAAGTCTTCTCATCGACCAAAACGAGAATTTGAAATGTCTGTGATGATGACGTTCTCAATAAAGTCCTCACACCAATGGCAGCCGAAATGTGAAAAGCCAGAGGACTGCGAGTTGCTTGCCGAAAGACTGAAAACCTCTGTCGAAATTCTCAAAATTCGAAAATTTTACATATATATATATGTATATAAATATATATATATGGTTGTGCATAGATATCTATTATATATACGTACATATGCGCATGCATAAACAGGGTGCACACAGTTCTGTCAATTTTCCGCTATTTCTATTTCTACAGTAAAAAAAAATACTGCATAGACAAATAAATTCGTTCAGATGAAGGAACAAGCACGTTTATTAGGTCGACAATAATAGCAATAAACAAAAATTTCACAACGAATTTTGAATGTTGCTCCTTTGGTCTCCATACATTTATAAAGTTGTTAGCAAAAATTTCCGGCCAGGGTCCCACACGTTCCCTCCGTAATCTCATTATGAGCGCGAGTCGAAGCCGTTTATAGCTCGTCTACGGTAGTTCAGCGAGCAGCCGAGACATATTTCTTTGACATGAACTACTCGGAGCAGTCCACTGAGTTGAGATCCGGCAAGTATGGCGGCCAAATGTCGAGCACGAAATGCCTGGAAACATATTCAAAAGATGACAATCGTTGAGTTGATCGAATGCGCAGAAGCACAGTCCTACTGAAGCGCAGATCTGTCGACGCCATGGTGCTAAGCCCTCCAAGGCTCCAGTATGCCCAGTAAAACTTGCTACTGATTGCTGGCAGCGTTGATTTTGACGTTTCCGTTAATGAAGGAAGACAAACGACGCTTTTCCGGTAACGCAAATGCCGATCCGTGCCACCACAGTGGCCGAAAATGACTTTGGTTCATGATTTTTGCCACAGCGGGATTCTGCTGACCATTCGTGAGAAGTTAATGTTGATTCTGACGATGTGAAGTGATTTGATAGCTTGTGTGAGTGCGATCATTGTCGCAAATTCTTGTAGGCAGCTTCGTGAATGTAAATAGGCCAAAGGAGGCATTGAGAAATTCCTATAACGTTTTTGAGTTCTTCTCCATCAGACGGCGACAAGTGAATATTCAACCCTACTCACTAGGAAAGAACTTTTTATGAGAGTGTTAGTAATAGTTCTGTAGCTTTCTCAACGCTGTAGAATTGGGAATAAAATTACGTTTCGCATTGGCAGTGCAATTCTACTATGTCGTCGCTGGAAACACGAAAAATATATCATCCTATAGGAAAAATCTCGTATATCAGACTCATATGTTTCACTAGGAGTTTCTTTTTAAGCGGAGAAAAAATCCTAATTGAAGAGAAAGATCTCACTTTGTCTGTGATGCTCTCGATGTATTTCAGTGGACCGTAGTGGGCTGCCCCGTCAAATTTGCGGCCACCAGCCTCCCGACCGCAGATTAGCGAATGAACACGCACGCCGAGCATGTGAATCCCAATCTTATTTCCCCTTTTATACTGCGTTGAAACGGCATTTTTAGAAAATAAGCAAAGCGCTGGATTCGTGGGAATTTACGTTATCGAATGGTAAAAAAAAGTATCGAGGAAGAACTTCTGTGGAGCGAGAAGAACGCGTTTGTGGAACGCAAATGTTTTCCTTTCGCTAAAGCGTTATAGAAAGTTCTTTCCAAAAAATCCAAAAAAGGCCAAGTAATGCGCTAACCAGAGATTTAAGCTTTCGATCGATTGTTAATGCTCCTATTAAAAGTTCTTGTCCAGTGAATGAGGTCAAATATTCATTTGTCGCCGTCTCATATAACAATATCTATTGATCGTTTTTCGTAATAAAATTCTTGTGCACATAATTGTGAGAACGGAAGATCTTCGAACTTTGCTCCTAAGACGTGTTTAACGATGTGACATGTGTTCTTGTCACTTCTTCAATTCTCCGTCGCTAACCTTCGGCGACTTTGTTTTCTTGAGAAACTGCGCCTGGTTCTGCAGCGCTATTTGATGAATAAGCTACAATCAACCCAATAATGTAGAGTGGTGTGCAAAAACGTTTGCGTCAGCCGGGAATCAAACCCTGATCTGACTCTTTTTGCCCATCACTCTACATTATTGGGTTTATTGTAACATCATACCAGCGCAATACGAGGTGAAATGAAGTGATTGATTATTGAAACATAATATCTAGTAGCATAAGTGGGTTCAATGAAGATAAGTGATTGCCCACGCCAGACCGTAGGTTGGCTGCTGGCAGATAAGGCGTTGTAGCCTAGGAAGAGCGATGTGCAAAACAAGCGTCGGTGGTGTAACAGTTCAGCACCCGTTCCCGAAAAGAGTGAGATCTGGGTTCAAATCCTGCCTGACGCAAGTATGTTTGCAGCCCACTCTTCATTATTGAATTTATTGTAACATCATGTCACAACATTGCAAGGTGAAATAAATTGGATTCTGATTAGGCTACAATCTCAGTCATAAAACCAACTCACATGCCATACTCTAATCTGTAAAAGAGCGCTCTCTGTTTTTTCTAAATGTCTAAAGCTTTTACGGCAGAGAGCAGGCAAATCTAACGGTAGATGCCAAAGTTGCGGATTGTGCGTCAAAAACAACACTAGGGCTATCTCACCAAGATACTGGCTATCAGAAATAAAAATAATGCATTAACAATCTATTAGGTCAGGTATCCCAGCATTATATGCAATTTTTAAGATCAAAGTAACTCGATTATAATTGCTAGTGTTAGTGGAAAGATGGTTTTCTTGTAACTATAAGACTGCATTGTGCCAAGTTGAGGAAGCTACGCATCTTAACCACATTCTTGGTGCTCCGGATGCTCTCCAAATTAATTGTTCTCTCCTGCTTTAATGTAAAACAATATTGTTACTCTTGTTGACGTCTCAGCCCACTTACAAATATCTGTTTCATTAGGAAATTCTCACTTCGCTGATCGAGACATGGGATTCTGAAATTTTGCATATATAATATATATATACGTACATAAAGGATAAAAAGGATAAAGCTCTCGGCGTTGATCAATCCCTGAGGGATGCGCCATGCATTCGACTTCAATTTTTAACTTCGTTTGAGGTGATTGAATGCACATCTGGCCTTTACAATGACTCGCGGTGGCCTCCCGCTGAACCGAGTCAGTGCTGCTTATCCTCCCAGACAAGTCTGAGACCTGTCTGGTACCAATTTACCGACCCCGGAGGGATGGATGGCTTGGTGAGCCATGAGCGCGAGATCGCACCAGTGACCTCGTGTGCGACGCAGAGCACCTCTAACCACTGCGTCACATGCGCTCTATATACGTACATATGTGCATGCATATACAGGGTGCGCACAGTTCTGTCAAGTTTCCGCTATTTAAGCAGTAAAAAATGCTGCATAAATAATTAAAAACGTTCAGATGAAGGAATAAGCACATTTATTAAGTCGATAACAATAGCAATAAACAAAGAATTTCACAACGAATTTTGATTGTTGCTCCTTTGGTCTCCATACATTTATAAAGTTGTTAGCAAAAATTCCCAACGAGGATCCCACACGTTTTCTCCGTAATCTCATTATGAGCGCGAGTCGAAGCCGTTTATAGCTCGTCTACGGTAGTTCAGCGAATAGCCGAGATCTATTTCTTCAGTATGAACCAATTGGAGCAATCCACTGAGTTGAGATCCGGCAATGGCGACGAAATGTCGAGTCCAAAATGTTTGCAAACATTTGTTGACAGATGACAATCGTTGAGTTGACCGAATGCGCAGAAGCTCAGTCCTACTGAAGCGCAGATCTGTCGACGCCATGGTGCTAAGCCCTCCAAGGCTCCAGTATGCCCAGTAATACTTGCTACTGATTGCTGGCAGTGTAGATTTTACGTTTTCGTTAATGAGAGAAGACAAACGACGCTTTTCCGGTAAGGCAAATGCCGATCCATGCCACCACAGAGGCCGAAAAATAATTGTGGTTCATTATTTTTGCCTCATCGGGCTTCTGCTGACCATTCCTGAGAAGTTAATGTTGATTCTGACGATGTGAAGTGATTTGACTAGCCTGCGCGAGTGCGATCATCGTCGCAAATTCCTATGTATGGAGGCCAAAAGAGGCAGTTTTGAGAAATTCCCATAAATTTTTTTGGGTTATTCTTCTTCAGACGGTGACAAGTGAATGATCTGCCCTACTCGCTGGAAAGGAACTCTTCATGAGAGTATTAGTAATCAATCTGAAGCTTTCCTAACGCTGTAGAATTCGTAATAAAATTGCGTTTTGCAATGGCAATGCAATTCAACTATGTCGTCGCTGAAAGCACGAAAAATATATCATCCTATAGAGGAGATCTTATAGTATCAAAGCCATATGTTTCGCTTAGAGTTTCTATACAAGCGGAGAAAAAATCCCAATTGAATGAGAAAAATCCCACTCTGTGCTCTCTATGTATTCAGTTGATCGTAGTGGGCTGCCCCATCAAATCTGCGGCCACCAGCCTTCCTACCGTAGGTTAGCCGGTGAACACGCACGCCGAATATGTGAAACTTGATCTTATTTCCCCTATTATACTACGGATAAACGGTTTTTTCAGAAATTAAGCAACGCCTTGGATTCGTGGGAACGTACGCTATCGCATGGTTAAAAATAGTCTTGAGGAAGAACTTCTGTGGAGCGAGAAAAAACGCGTGTGTGGAACGCGAATGTTTTCCTTCCGTTGAAGCGTTATAGAAGGTTCCTTCGAAAGAAAGGCCAAGTGATGCGCTAGCCAGAGATTTAAGCTTTCGAACGCTTGTTAACGCTCCTATGAGAAGTTCTTGTGCAGCGAATGAGGTCAGATATTCATTTGTCGCCGTCTCACATTACAATACCTATTACTCGTTTTTCGTAATGAAATTCTTGTGAACATAATTGTGAGAACGAAAGATCTCCAAACTTCGCTCCTAAGAATCGTGCTTAGCCAGGTGACATGTGTTTTTGTCACTTCTTCAATTCTCCGTCACTAACCTTTGCGACTTCTTTTCTTGAGAAACTGCGCGTATTGTTATGCAACGCTATTTGATGAATAAGCTGCAATCGACCCAATAATGTAGAATGGTGTGCAGAAACGTTTGCGTCAGCCTGTACTCAAACCCAAATTTCACTCTTTTTGCACACCACTCTACATTATTGGGTTTATTGTAACATCATACCAGCGCAATACGCGGTCAAATGAAATAATTGATTATTGAAACCCATATCCGCCAGCATAAGTGGGTTTAATGTCGATGAGTGATTGCCTACGCCAGACCGTAGACGGTTGGCCGCTGACAGATAACACATTGTAGCCTAAAAGGAGCGTTGTACAAAACAAGCGTCGATGGCTCAACAGTTCAGCACTTGCTCCTGAAGTTCTTTTTGAATGTGAGACGCTTTTACCACAGAGAGCAAACGAATCTAACGGTAGATGTCAAAGTTGCGGATTCTGCATCAACGAAACAACACTAGGGCTATCTCACCAAGATACTGACTATAAGAAATAAAAATTATGCACTATCAATGCAGTAGATCAGATATCCCATCATTATATGCAGTTTTTAAAATCAAAATGACTCCATTATTATTGCTAGTGTTAGTGGAAAGATGGTTTTCTTGTAACTATATGACTGCATTGTGCCACGTTGAGGCAGGCATGTACGCATCTTGACTACATTTTTGGTGCTCCGGATGCTCTCCAAATTGATGGTTCTCTCCTGCTTCAATGTGAAGCAATATTATTACACTTGCTGACGTCTCAGCCAACTTACAAATATGGGACTCTGAAACAGATCCATCCCTCATGAGTATTACGCTGTCGCTATCTGGGAGAGAAGCAGTCCTCTTACAAGCGCTAGCAAAATTCAGGATCGAAATTCATATTCATGAGCAATAAACAGTTATGTGTACCTCAGGGTTGTTTACATTTTATCAGTATATTACTGGTTGGTCAAGGCTTCTCCTGGAAGGCGTGCTAGAACTTCCTGAAGTGGCTTTCCATCCAGTGACGAACGTGTTGCCAGGTGATCATTCAATGCGGCATCACTCATTTGACTATGGTTTAGGCGAATAAGTAAGCATATTTGGTTAAGGTAATGATTTGTTTGAGAGATCCTCATGAACATGCGATAGTGGAATTCCTACTGATATAAACGTGCGCATCATAATCTGATAAAAAAATATCTGTAATTTCACTAAAAGCTCGCCATGAGTCGAGATGTGTGCGATGCACATTTCGTGCAGCCAGTGAGTGCTCAAGGGTGCGAAGTAGAAAATCAAATGAAATGCATTTCACCCGGTGCATGTTGTTTTCACTGGTGTGTTTTCCTACACGATTCTTTTGCACGTTTGGTATCCATTCTGTATTTATTCAGTGCAGATGTTGTCATCCCGTTTCCGTCAAAAGCTGTTCCCTAAAATCAAAAAAAAAAAATCTAAAAAAAACCATTTTTGGACGGATTCATTTTACGGTGGAAAATTGTGATTTTTGAATAAATACATCTGTGCAACTTCTAGTGACAAGTTCCAATTGTGAATCTGATGCTTCATAAATTGTCTCATTAGTCAAATTAATTTGCAACATAATGATGTGTGTCTAAAAGCCTTTTAGATCTTGAGCATTTTGAGCCACGGGTGCAGATTTTTCTAATTTCAATTGATCCTCAACTGTGGCCACCTAAAATGGCCATTAGAAGGTATCCACTGAATTGTTTTTATTTCATCAGCAATCGTCAGCTCTCATAAGACACATTCCTGTAATATCCACCTATTTGTGTCGTTTACAAGCGATTCTCAAAATGTTAGCCATATACAACCCATACAGATCTATCGTCATCTAGTCCTCAATAAAAATTGCCTATGCATATTAGACCGAGTTTTATTAAAGATACAGCCATAGGTACACTTCCCTTAGTTTACCCTTTGCTCGACGTAGTATGGGAACAACAATAGCTGCAATGAAATGTTTGAGAATTTCTTGAAAAGTTGATCATTTACCTTTTTTTTTCTGGAACCTGCAAGAACTTTAGATGTTTCTTTTTCTGAAACTTACATTAGCAAGCACTGGCGAAAAATCTAACGTTTTGGTCTGTGTGTGCCTATGTTCCCCATTCACAGAAGCGATGTTCAACTATTTCAATGCGTCCTTAGCCGCTTACGCTACTAAATTTCTTTTTTTAACCACTTGTCCTATTACAGAACTCACACACTATATCTATGCTAAAGCACATCCCATGCTTTATTCAAATGACTCTATAAATTCTGAATTGCAGAAGAATTACAAGTTACACACATGGTTAGCATATAAAAGTCATTTCAGATGTCATATAATGTAAAATGTGTAATAAAAAAATCAACAATAAAAGAAATCTTAT